GCCTGGGCGACAGAGCGAGACTCCGTCTCAAAAAAAAAAAAAGAAGATCCAGTAGTGCAGGTCCACTTCCACATCTGCCCCATCCCCACCAGCTCACTTTGCTCCCTGGGAGGACTTGGCCTTGTGGGCATTTGAGTTTATACCACCACCCACATTGTGGCACACCCCTCCACCTCATCAAACACAGGCTCTGCTGTTGGAATCAGTCTTCCTGATCCGCAGCTGTGCCCTCCAACAGAGGGCACCCCTGGGCTTCCCAGCTCTGGGAGCAGTGGGTGCCAACAAGGAGGGGCCTGGGGCTGAAGAATCCCACCCGCTGAGCTTGGCCCTCTCCCTTCCCCGCTGTCCAGCTCTGCCTTTCAGCATCCTGCCTCACTCCCCGCCCAGGCAGCAGGGAGCCCACACCCTCATGCCCCTCAGCCTCAGCCCCCACCTCCAGGAGGCCCTACCCACGCTCATGACCTTGCTATTCTGGGCCTTGTGTCCTGTCGGGAGATGGACAGGAGACAGCTGGGTTTCCAGGCCACTCAGGCGGGGGGCTAGCAGAGGGAAGCCTGCTGGCTCTCCTGCTTACTCTAATTCCTGGGGCTCCCCAAACCTTGGCCTCAGGAGACTGGGGATAGGACCAGCCTTGAAAGTGGGGGAAGCTTTGGAGAGCCGGGTGCTGTGTTCTTAGTGAGATGACCAGCAAAGGCTGTGGCGCCCGGGGGTAAGCAGGGCCTGATCCCCTCCTAATCTTCCAGCAGCAACTGGTGCTCTGAGGCTCCCCTCCCCCAGCCCTGCCAGGGACCTGCCTTTCAAAGATGGGCAGGGGAGGGGGACAGGGACACCCACCCACTCCTCAGACCGGCACATCTTGGCTGTTGGGGCCTGAGAGACTTTCGCTCTAAGCCTTTCTTTACAGATGGTTAAACCAAAGTTCTGCACTCATCAGGGACTGGCCAGGCTGTCTCCGTGTCCCATGCTTTTAGCTCCAGCCCTCAGGTGTGATAGGAGGATCACTTTCCATCCCTGGGCTTGGAGACCCCTGTGGGAAGGGATCCCCAAGGGCGCCTCTGGCTCAGCCTCCCTCCATGGCAGTTCACATCCGCAGCCTCCCCGAGGGTGGCCCTTCCGCAGCTCCTGGCGGATGGCTTTCCCTCCCTGGCTTATTACCCCCTCTGGGAAGCCGGGGGAGGTAGAAATGAATAACCTTAAAGGCCTGTTGGCAGGAATGTGCTGCCAAGCCTGCCCCCTGCCCTCTGTCTCAGGCTCTTGACTCCCTTGAAGCTGCCCATCTCTCCGTCTGCCCCTCTCCATGTTTGGGCATTCCCACTGCTGTAAGACAGTAGCCCCTGTCACTCCTCCAGGTGCTGGTGGGGAGACGCCGGCCAGCGCCAAAAGCCTTGGCGGGTGTGAGCCTGAGTCCAGCAGAGATGGTGGGTGCCGGGCCGTGTGGAGGTGCCGGGGGCTGTGTCCCTTGGAAGAGAGGCTGCTAATTAATGCCCTCCTGCACCCTCATTTCAGCCCACTGTCCCCCACTCCCCTCAGGTCACAGCAGGACTCTGCTTCAGGGGAGGGGTTTGTTGGAACTGTGAAAAGGAGGGGGGAAGGAACGCCTTGTCCTTAACTCACCCGGGAGGCCGTGCCTCCCCCAAGTTCAGGCAGAAGAGATGCATCTGGGAGGCTGAACCCTCAAGTTCCATCCACCCCTGCTGCCATCCCCCTCCCCAAAAGTGGAGGCCTCCCTTTTCGTTGCTCTGCTGTCTCCTATTCTGTCCTCTGCCTCGGTGTTTGAGCCCCAGAATGGAAAGCAGCCTTAAGAAGCCACACTTAGGAAGTCCACATGCCTCTGCTCATTTCAGGAAACAGGCCTAGATGGAGGATGGACTTGAGCCCAGGGCACCAGGCCCCTTCCCCTCACCGACCTTTCACACTGACTCTCATCCAGCCTCTGCCTGCCTGTCCTCCCCTTCCTGCACCCTGGTACCCTCCCTCGGCTTCTCCAGCAGCTGCCCTGGTGGTAACCAAGAGACGCCCCCATCCTGGAGCAGGGGTGGGGAGGGGCAGCTCAAAGCAGCTGCTTCTCTGAGGAAGCTGACACCAAGGCCAGCGTTCAGCAACAATTTGTGGCTTTGCACCCAGCGCCGGGGTCCCCGCCCACCTGGCTCCCTGCTGTCCCTCTTCCCCACTGCTCCTCACACTTCCCTCTGACCCTGGTTACTCTGTGTCTCTGCTCCCTCTCTCCCTAGGTCTAATCTGTCCTCATTTCCCCCAGACCTGTCCCCAGAAGTCCACCCTTCCCCATTCCTTTGATCTGGAACCCCTTCTTGGTCCGGCTCCCCCAGGCCCTGACACCTTTCTGTGGGGCCTGCCCAGCTCCTCGGCACACACAGCATGGGCCTGATCCTGTTCCCCTTGTGGGCAGATGCAGCAGGGCAGAGTGCAGCACAGACCACAGGCCTCTGGGGCTGGCCATGGAAACCCCGTGGATTAGAGCACAGTGTGGGATGAAGTGACCCTCAGTGCACGACTTGGGGTGACCCCTGCCCCCATCCTGAGACAGTTACCCTTCCCCCTCTGCCATCAGCACATTCTGTAGCCTCTTGGGTTACTTGGCTGCCTTGGTGTCCCATTTTCTTGGGGGGGGTGGGGATTCCCTATCCAGGATGGGGCGGCCCTGAGGGCTCTGTTCCCGGAGGCTGAGTTAGAGCGATGGGGAAGGGGGGGCAGTTTTGGGGAGAGACAGGCAGTGCTCACCAGGGCCTGGACACTAAATCCCTTGTTGATGGCTGTGGCAACCCCTCCCTAGGGTAGGGTTACCATCTTCGGCCCTGTCCCCTTGACTCTCTCCCCTCTTCACTTCCCCTTGTCCCTCTAGGAGCCATTTCCTCTATCCCCCAAAAGATGTCTCCCTTCATCAGTCCCCCAAAGGCTTGGGGTATCTCTGCCACTCCTTCAGCGAAGCAGGTGAGGAGGAAGGAGACTGCGGCAATGGAAACAGGCTCCGGGCAGATGAGGCAGGAAGGGGGACAGGTGAGGCCGGGGATGGAAGAGGGTTCAGGGAGGAACTAGGGGGATGAGTTTGGAATGGGAAATTCAATGCAACTGGGGAAGTCGAGGCAATGGGGGGGGCGGGGTCAGTAGCAGATGACAGAAAGTGAAGTCTCCCTACCCCACTTCCCTGGGGCTGGGGCTACCTTTGCGTCCCTCATGAGTGACATCTCAGGCTGCAGCCCCACTGTTCCCCCTCTGTCAGCAGAAATATCTCTCTTCTGACCCCTCCTGCTGGAGTCTCAGCCAGCCAATCCCTGATCTGGAGGAGGGGGGAGCCCGGCCTCCCCCCTGCTCCCTCATAAGGACCAGCCGGGGGCCAGGGGGTGGCCGGCTGCTCAAGTGGGACGGGGGTCAGAGCTTTGTGGAAGGAAGAAAAACCTGGAGGGGGCAGGAGAGTAAAAAGAAGAAACCCAGGCAGACAGGCAGTTGGACACACTGAGGAAGACCCCCCACGAGTGGGAACCCCTTGGAAGGAACACACCGGCCCCGGCCCCCAGGAAGGGAGCGCAATGGAGGCCGCTCACGCTAAAACCACGGAGGAATGTTTGGCCTATTTTGGGGTGAGTGAGACCACGGGCCTCACCCCGGACCAAGTTAAGCGGAATCTGGAGAAATACGGCCCCAATGGTAAGTGTCCCTTGGAAGAAAGGCTGGTAATTAATGTCCTCCTGCACCCCCAAAACACACGCACACGCATGCACGCGTTTCTCCCTTCAGGGTATCTTAAGGAAGAGCTGGGCCGTTGTCCAGTGCTCGCAGGGGTAAGAGGATACTGAGAAAACAGAGTCCCGAGATCCAGAGTTTTGGGAGGTTTTAATGGGATGACCTTGATGAACCTCAAGGTGGCCTGATTCTCTTACCTTAGCCACAAAGTCTTGGGTGTGGGGGGCATGAGGCTGAACCCCAAATGAATCTGTCTTTTTCTTCTTTTTCCTGGGTAGAGCTCCCTGCTGAGGAAGGTAAGTTACTGAAATCCCTGAACTCTCATAGATGACCACCCCTCTCTCCCGCCCCATCCCACTCCCTCCTCCCTGCCTTTTCTTTAGATTCCTTGAGCAAATACCCCTTCCCAAAAGGCAAATCTCCCTCCCTAAAGGTTAGAGTCCTGTCCAGGGCAGAAGTCTCCCAGACACTTTCTCCTTGAAGCATCCAACCCTTGAACGGCTCCCCACTTTGCCGAGTCTGTTTCTGTACTCTAGGCGAGATTCTCAGCCCTTCTCTGGGCACCAAGCTGCCTGCCCACCACCCTAGAGCCTCTTCACTGCAGGCCGGAGTCCAGGGGGCTCCATCCCAGACCTTCACCCCCTAGACCTTAACCCGGGGCCCTCCCCTTGCCTCCTTCCCCAGGGAAGACCCTGTGGGAGCTGGTGATAGAGCAGTTTGAAGACCTCTTGGTGCGGATCCTCCTCCTGGCCGCATGCATTTCCTTCGTAAGTGTGGGAGGGTCTCTGGGGGCTGGCTGGGGGTGTGAGGCTGGGATCGGGTGAATGCGGGGTTCGCAGTCACTGGATCCTCCCGTCCGAGCCCCGAGCATCCCATTGTACAGACGGGGCGGGCTCGGGGGCAGCAGCGGGTGTGATTCGCTTCCTCCTCTCTCCTCCCCCGCACCCCACAGGCAGGTTTTATTTTAAGCTTTAAGGGTGTTCTCAGCCAAAACACCGAAGCTAAGCCACCCTCGGGGCTTCAAGAGCTTGGAGGGCTCGGGTTACCCCCCGAGCCGCGGGCTCCGGGTCCCGCAGCGATGCCGGCTGCAGCTCGGGGGCCACTGCCACTCCCGGCATGCCCCGGGCGGGCGGCCGTTCCACCAATCCCCGCGCCCGCCGGCGCCCCTTCGCTGCCCTCCCCGGCCGCCTGACGCTGATTGGTCGAGAGGAGGACTCGCTCCTAGTGGCGGGAAAGCGCGGCGGTGCGAGGATGACTCCAAGGAGCCCGGCGCCCAGTCAGGGAGGGCACTGGCATCCCTCGCCTCACCGCCCAGCCTGGCCCTAGCCCTTCCCCGCGCTCCCTAGGCCCCCCCACCGCCGCGGGGCATCCCCAGGGCCCTGCCTCCTCTCCCGCCCTGGGGGTTACTTCCCATCCCGCAGTCCATCTGCGTATCGCGGGTTCTTCTCCAGCATGAGTCTTGCTGGGGCCTCTGGAGGCAACGAAAGCCTCCCTGTACCTTGGTTTCCGAACGCAGGCCCCGTTGCGTTAAGCACAAGCTGGCAGGGCCTCTCCTTTCCCTTCTCAGATTTGCTCCTTGACATTTGCCTGCTGCCTGGCGGTGGCAACAGCTGGGGCGGGGCGCGCGCAGGAGGCCCCGTAACCCTATCCCCGCTCTGGCTCCCTCGTGAAACCGGAGCTTCCCTGCCTTGGCCGAGGGGGAGGGCTGCGGGGGTCAGACGGCCTGCGAGGACCACAGGGTTTTTCCTCTCGGGTTTTGGCTCCCGTGGGATGGATGTGGCTGTGCGGGGAGTTGGCCTGAGCTTCGCTTCTAAGCCAGCAGCTTGGTTAGGGAAACCTGAAAGCATTCCCAGCTAATCCCCCTACTGGTGCAAGTCTGTGCGCGCTCATCCCGCTGAGTAAGGCGGTGGCAGGGCCTGCAGTGGGTGGACAGACCCACAGACGAATGTGGGGCCACAGCGTCCCCACCATACCCGGTCCCCCTGCTGGCTACTGCGCAATTCTCCCCTCTGCAGTGGGCCACTTCCTTTCTCCACCCCTTTCCGGGCCTCATTACCTGTCATTCTCCTTTCCCCTGCTCTCCAGGTGCTGGCCTGGTTTGAGGAAGGTGAAGAGACCATCACTGCCTTTGTTGAACCCTTTGTCATCCTCTTGATCCTCATTGCCAATGCCATCGTGGGGGTTTGGCAGGTTAGCTTTGACCCTTCCTCACCCCTTCATGTCCCAACACTGAAGGAGAGGCCAACCCTCCCTCGTCTCCTCCTCCTCCATCACCTCCCCCATACTTGCCTCTTCCTCTGGTCCTATCCCCTGGTCTGGAATGGGATGGAGTGTGGGGAAGAGGTGGGAGACTGTGACCCACTGTCACTTCCTGGCTGTGTGACCCTGAGCAAGTTCCTTCATCCCTCTGAGCCTCAGTTTCTTCATCCATAAAATGGGGCTAGCAATCCAGTGTGAAATCGACTAAGATGATGGATGTGCCTGACACACAGTAAGAATTCAATAGACGCTAGCTTGATTTCCTTCTTCCTCTGACCTGACCACCCTCTACATGTCCTGTCCTCTGCTTCCTGTTTTTTTTTTTTGTTGTTGTTGTTCTTGTTGTTGTTTTGTTTTGTTTTAGGTCGTTTCCATAGTGAAAACCCAAATGCTACCTTGCTTTGGTTCTAAGAAATGTCAGGCTATAAGCCATTTTTTGGTGCTCACTGGTTTCTGAACACTGAGGATAGAAATAGCCACTTTCTCACTTTGGGAGGCCGAGGCGGGCGGATCACTTGAGGTCAGGAGTTCAAGAGTAGCCTGGCCAACATGGTAAAACCCCATCTCTACTAAAAATACAAAAAATTGGCTGAGCATGGTGGTGGATTCCTGTAATCCCAGCTACTCGGAAGGCTGAGGCAGGAGAATCACTTGAACAGGGAGGTGGAGGTTGCAGTGAGCCAAGATTGTGCCATTGCATTGCACTCCAGCATGGGCAACAGAGTGAGACCCTGTCTCAAAAAAAAAAAAAGAAAGAAAAAAAGAAAAAAAAAGAAATAGCACTTTCTCTTTGCCCCAGTGTTACAGGTACAGCAGAGCCACTGTGTCTGTGGTGCTGGCAGGTCTAGGACAACATCTGCAGGGCAGCCTCTGATTTTCTTTGATTTTTTATTTAGATTTTTCTTTTTGAGACAGGGTCTTGTTATGTCGCCCAGGCTGGAGTGCAGTGGTGTGATCTCAGCTCACAGCAACCTCTGCCTCCCGGGTTCTAGTGATTCTCCTGCCTCAGCCTCCCAAGTAGCTGGGATTACAGGCACGTGCTACTATGCTAGGCTTTGTTTTTTGTTTGTTTGTTTTGTTTTGTTTTGTTGTACTTTTGGTAGAGATGGGGTTTCACCATGTTGTCCAGGCTGGTCTTGAACTCCTGACCTCAAGTGATCCACCTGCCTTGGCCTCCCAGAGTGCTGGGATTACAGGTGCGAGTCACCACGCCCAGCCTGATTTTCTTTGATTCTTCTTTGTTCTCTCCCCAAAACCCTCTTACCTGTTTTCAGCTGTAGGTGACAGTTTCCTCAACACACACACACCCCTGCCCGTGTGGGGTTTTGTTGCCTCCCCTGTGCCAGGAGCCACAACTCCATAACCCTGCCTCCTGTGCATAACCATGCCTCCTCCACCCTGTCTCCTCAGGAGCGGAACGCAGAGAATGCCATCGAGGCGCTGAAGGAGTATGAGCCAGAGATGGGGAAGGTCTACCGGGCTGACCGCAAGGCAGTGCAAAGGATCAAGGCTCGGGACATCGTCCCCGGGGACATCGTGGAGGTGGCTGGTGAGTGACAGGGACGGCTGGTCCAGGATGCGAAGCTTTGGGACTGAGGCCTAGGAGACGTTGGGGGCTGGTCAGGCTCAGATCCCGGTGTCCAGGAGGATGGCGGAGTCTGCTTCTCCTTCCGACTCCTCAGAAGGTCATCCCAGGCCACTCCGGCCACGGCCCCCCTTCACCATCAGAGTCTCAGCAGGAACAGCCAGTCCTGTCCCTGAGGCTGCAGGCAGACCCCCTGCTCTCCATCCTCTCACCCTGCACTCGCACTTGCAGGCAACAGGTGGAACTCGGTCCCTGCCAACGGCCCCGTCTCCACCCCCTCCCGGGGCCTGGCTTCCCCCTCCTTCCACCCACCCCAAGCTTGGTCAGCTTTCAGTCTTGACCTCTCCGTGCCCTTGAGGCCTCTCAAAGGGGAAGGAGCGAGGGCAGAAGGGAGGAGGGAGGCCGAAGGCTCGAGCCCCCGGCCATGTAAGGGAAACTCAGGCCCTGCACGGAGCACGGGACTGGGGAGGAGGGAGCTCAAGGAGGGCCCCGCCCGAGGCAAGGGACACTTAATGCCTGGCCAGGGAGGGGTGGGGGCTGGGTGGCTAAGATTACTGGGATTCTGCCCCCTTCAGCGGTTTTTATATTTGCCCTGAGCAGGCCTTCCCGAAGCTCCAGGCCCCTGCCAGGGGGAATGGCTCTTCTGAGGCCTCCTTCCCTGTAGCAGACACCCGAGTCACCACCCCAGGGAGCCTGGGGATAGGGAGTGAGGGCAGGCCGAAGACCCCGGCACCCCATTACCGCCGTGACAGCATGGAGTCAGCGCCATGAATGTCTATAAATATCACACGGGCTTGGGTGACAGGGCGTCCCGCCTGACTGCATCCCAACCTCCCTCCTCCCTCCTGGGTCCATTTCCTCTGGCACAGGAGGGGGCCTTAGAAACAGAGGGAAAGGAAAGCGATTGGATCCGGTCCCCAGTACCATCCCTGGGACCAGTGTGGAATTAGGCAGCAGCCCTGGGAGGTTCTTAGGCTCCTCCTAAGGTCTCTGAGTCTGGCTGGGCATCCACCTCTCCAGCCGCCCCCAAGGTGGTTTCCATGTGTCTGTCAACCCACCTGTGCACTCCCTGGCCTCACCTCCACCCATTCACTCTCCAGCCTGTGCTGCCGGCCCTGCTCCTCCACACCTGTTTCCTGCTCACCCCTCCGCTTCTCTCTCGCCCCATCCGTCCTGTCTTGTCCATGTTCCCAGCTTACTTTCCCCAGCTCCTCACCTCCCTGCCTCCCTGAGATGCTCAGACCCAGCTGTCAGGTTCCTGATATGTGGTCCCCTCCATGACCACCCTACGCCCCCTCCTGCCTTGAGTCCTGCCCACTCATACCTTCCGCTCACTCCTCTCCTGCCTTGCCCTCCACTGTTCTCTTGGTTGCCCTCGATTTTCTCAATTTCCATATTTTCCCATTTCTCCCTGCCTTCCCTGGCTGTCCACTTCATTCTCTCACCCCAATACTCCTTCTCTCTAACACACCCTGTTTTCCCTGAGTTCTTTCCTTGCCTTTCCTCTTTGCCTTTCTCACTCCTGTCTCCCATTCTCAATTCTAGCTTCTTGTCCTACAGCTGGACTGTCCTTAATTTCGCCTCCAGTCATTCAGTGGGCATTTATTTAGCATGTATTATGTGCTGAGCAGTATGCCTGCCCATCCCTTCTCAGGGCTCACAGCCAGTGGGAAGAGATGTGGGAATTCAAGACCAACCTGAGAACAGAATGAGACTCCAGCTCGCCATGGACACAGGGACAGAAGGGATGGGTGTCACGATGGGTGGTTGCCAGCTTCAGGAGCTCATGCCAAGGGCCTGATGCAAGCCCTGGGAGCCTCCCTGAGACCTGAAGGATGGATGAGGAGAATAAGTCAGACACAGATTCGGTTTTTCTTAGGAAGGAAGAAAATTCCATTCCCAAGTGACCTCCCTCTTCCCTACTCTCTCCACAGTGGGAGACAAAGTCCCTGCAGATATCCGAATCCTCGCCATCAAATCCACCACCCTGCGGGTTGACCAGTCCATCCTGACAGGTCTGCTGGCCTGGGTGGGAAGATGCATGGGGGTGGGATGTGGGAAGGAAGAGGCAACAAGGGGGAGGTGAGTGGAAAGACAGAGAACCCTCACTGTCTGAGCAACATAGAGAGACCCTGTCTCTAAAAAAATTTTTAAAAATTAGCTGGGCATGTTGTTGAGTGCCTATAGTCCTGACTACTCAGGATGCTGAGGCGGGAGGATCACCTGGGTACAGGAGGTCAAGGCTGCAGTGAGCTGTGATCACACCACTGCACTCTTTTCTGGGCAACCCTGTCTCTATCAAAATACAAACAAAAGGCTGGGCAAAGTGGCTCATGCCTGTAATCCCAGCACTTTGGGAGGCCAAGGTGGGTGGATCACCTGAGGTCAGGAGTTAGAGACCAGCCTGGCCAACATGGTGAAACCCTGTCTCTACCAAAAAATACAAAAATTAGCCAGGCATGGTGGCAGGCACCTGTAGTCCCAGCTACTCAGGAGGCTGATGCAGTAGAATCGCATGAACCCAGGAGGCTGAGGCTGTAGTGAGCCAAGATCATGTCACTGCACTCCAGCCTGGGCAACAAGAGTAAGACCCCATCTCAAAAAAAAAAAAAAAAGCAAAAGACAAAAAAAAAAAACCAGCACTGGGGCCTCCCCCTGGCTCACTAGCAGTGGCTGTGGCAGTGGCAGCACTGTTTGACGTTTTCTTTTTTTTTTTTT